TCTTTTTAATAGCTTTTCATAGCTTGTTTCTTTTTATTGCTGACTAATGCTCCATTGTTATTGGATATGCCACAGTTTATCTTTTGACCTATTGAGGTACATTTTGGTTGCTTCCACGTTTCGGCAATTATGAATACAGCTGCTATAGGCATTTATGTGTAGGTTTTTGTGTGAACACAAGTTTTCAGCTCATCTGGGTAAATATCTAGGAGCACAATTGCTGGATCATATAGTAAACCTATGTTTAGTTTTGTGAGAAACTGCCAGACCATCCTCTAAAATGGCTATACCATTTTGCATTGCCGCCAACAATGAATGAAAGTTCCTGTTGCTCCACATCCTTGCCAACATTTAGTATTGCCATTGTTTTGGATTTAAACTATTCTGATAGGTGTGTAGTGGTAATCTAATTGTTTTTCATTTTTTAAATTTATTTTATTTTATTTTTTGGCTGCGTTGGGTCTTCGTTGCTGCTCACGGGCTTTCTCTTAGTTGCAGCGAGCAGGGGCTACTCTTCGTTGTGGTGCGCAGGCTACTCGTTGTCGCGGTGCCTGGGCTTCTCATTGTGGGGGCTTCTCTTGTTGTGGAGCACGGGCTCTAGGCACGCTGGCTTCAGTAGTTGCGGCACGCGGGCTCAGTGTTGTGGCTCACGGGCTCTAGAGCACAGGCTCAGTAGTTGTGGCTCACGGGCTTAGTTGTTCCACGGCATGTGGGATCTTCCCGGACCAGGGCTCAAACCCGTGTCCCCTGCGTTGGCAGGCAGATTCTTAACCACTGCGCCACCAGGGAAGCCCCTATCTAATTGTTTTCATTGCAATTCCCTGATGGCTTGTGATATTGAGAATCTTTTCATATGCTTATATGCTTATTTTCATATGATTATCTCTGTATCTTCTTTGGTAAGGTGACAGTTCAGATCGTTTGCCCAGTTTTTAATTGGGTTGTTTATATTTCTATTGTTGAGTTTTTAGAATTCTTTGCATATTTTGTATTCTATTCTTTATCAGATAAGCGGTTTTCAAATATTTTCTCCCAGTCTGTGGCTTGTCTTTTCATTCTATTAATAGTCATTTTTGCAGAGCAGAAGTCTTAATTTTAATGAAGTCCAACTTAACAATTTCTTCTTTCATGGCTCATGTGTTTGGTGTTGTATGTAAAAAGTCATCTCCAAGCCTAAGGTCACCTAGGTTTTCTCCACTGTTATCCTCTAAAAGGTGAATAGTAATTATTATTTCACATTTAGATCTGTGATTGATTTTGAGTTAATTTTTGTGAAAGATATAGGTCTATATCTAAATTTTTTGTTGTTGTTTGTTTGTTTGTGTGTAGGTGTCCAGTGGTTCCAGCACCATTTGGTGAAAAGGACTATCCTTTCTCCATTGAATTGCTTTTATTCTTTGTCAAAGATTAGTTGACCATATTTGTGTGTTTCTATTTCTGGGCTCTATATTCTGTTCCACTGATTTGTTTGTCTATTCTTTTGCCCATACCACATTATCCTGATTACTGTAGTTTTATGGTAAGTCTTGACAGAAGATAGTGTCAGTCTTCCAACTTTGTTCTTCTCCAGTATTTTGTTGGTGATTCTGGGTTTTTTGCTTTTCTCTGTAAACTTTAGAATCAGTTTGTTGATATCCACAAAATAATTTGCTGGGATGTCACTTAATCTATAGGTCAAGTTGGGAAAAATTGATATCATAATAGTGTCTTCCTATCCCTGAACATGGACAATTTCTCCACTTATTTGGGTCTCCTTTGATTTCTTTCATTGGAGTTTTGTAGTTTTCTTCATATAAATCTTCTACATAATTTGTTAGATTTGCACCTAAGTATTTTATTTTTTTCATACTAATGTAATTGATGTTGTGTTTTTAATTTCAAATTCCCATTATTCCTTGTTACATAAGAAAGCAGTTGACTTTTGTGTATTAACCCTGTATCATGCAACCTTGCTATAATCACTTGTTAGTTCCAGGAGGTTTTGGGTTGGTTTTTTGTTTTTGTTTTGTCAATTCTTTGGGATTTTCTACATAGACAATCATATCATCTGTAAACAAAGATGACTTCATTTATTTCTTTCCCAGTATACATAGCTTTTATTTCCTTTTCTTGCCTTATTGTATAGCTAGGACTTTCAGTACATGTTTAAGAGAGTGGTGAAAGGGGACATCCTGTGTTGTTCTCCAACATAGGGAGAAAGCATCTGGTTTTTCACCATTAAGTATTTTGGCAAATATTAGTAGGTTTCTTGGCAAGTATTCTTTACCAAATTGATGAAGTTCTCCTTTACTTTTAGTTGAATGTCACATGCTTTTTCAGCATCCATTGATATGGTTATATGATTATTTTTTTCTTTAGCCTGGTTGATGTGGTGAAATCCATTAATTGATTATTGAAAGTTAAACCTGTCTTGCATACCTGGAATATAGTTCATTTGGCCATGGTGTATAATTCTTCTTATATGTTGATGGATTTGATTTGCTAATATTTTGTTGGGGATTTTGTACCTATGTTTATGAGACATACTGGTCTGTAATTTTCCTTTCTAGTGTGATGGCTTTGGTTTTGGTGTGAGGATGATGCTGGCCTCATAGAATGAGTTAGGAAGTTCTTCTGTATTTTGGAAGAGATTTTCAAAAACTGTTATAATGTCTTATTTAAATGTTTGGTAAAATTTACCAGTGAAGCCATCTGGATTGGTACTTTCTGTTTTGGAAGATTATTAATTATTGATTTAATTTCTTTTATATATATATATATATATATATATATATATATATATATGTATAGGCCTATTCAGATTGTCAGTTTCTCCTAGTGTGAGTTTTGGTAGATTGTCTTTCAAGGAATTGATCCATTTCATCTAAGTTACCAAATTTATGGGCATAGAGTTGTTTATAGTATTTTAAATTATTCTTTTAATGTCCATGAGATCAGTTGTGATGGCTCCTCTTTCATTCTTCATATTAGTAATTTCTGTCTTTTCTTGGTTAGCCTGGCTAGAATTTTATCAATCTTACTGACCTTTTCAAAAAACACAGCTTTTGGTTTTGTTTACTTTGTGATTTTTTCCATTTAATTTATTCTGTTTGGAGTTCACTAACTTCTTGAATCTGTAGATTTATTTCTTTTGCCCAATTTGGGAAGTTTTTAGCCATTATTTACTACAAGTACTTTTCATTCCTGCCCACTTTCTCCTTTCCTCCTGGTACTTGATGATACAAGTGCTAGATCTTTTGCTATCGTTCCACAGATTTCTGAGGCTCTGTTCATTTTTATCTCTGTTGTTTAAATTGGGTAGTTTCTATTGTTTTATCTTCCAGATTAAAGATTCTTTTCTCTATTTCCTACATTCTGCTGTTGAGCTCATTCATTGAGTTTTTTATTTCAGTTCTTTAGGTCTTCACTTTCTTTATTGAGATTTTCTGGGGTTTTTTTGTCAAGAAGTTCTATATTTTTGTTTCAAGCATGTTCTTAATTTCTTTTTTTAAATTAATGTTTATTGGAGTATAGTTGATTTACAATGTTGTTTTAGTTTCTACTGTACAGCAAAGTGAATCAGTTATACATTTACATATACATATATCCACTCTTTTTTAGATTATATTCCCATACAGGTTCTTAATTTCTATTGAAGCATTTTTGTGATGGCTACTCTCAGATCGTTGTCAGATAGTTGTAACATGTCTACTTGTCTCCAGTGTTGGCATCTATTGATTATCCTTTTTTATTCACTTTGATATCTTCCTGGTTCTTGGTCTGATGAGTGATTTTTGATTGAAACTTGTACATTTGGGGTATTATGTTATGAGTCTCTGGATCTTATTTAAACCTTCTATCTTACCTGGCTTCCTCTGACACCTCTGGTAGTGGAAGGAAGAGGCACCATCTCATTACTGCCAGGTTGGGGTGGAAGTCCAAGTTCCCCAAGAAGCTTCCATTGACGCTCACGTGGCAGAGGAGTGTTTGTGCGTGAGTGTAAGAGGGCTTGTTAGTGCTGACTGGGAATGGGAGTTCCAGCTGCCCACATAGGGAGTAAGGTGGGCTCAATAGCACTGCATAGTAGTGAAAGTTCTGACTCTCTACTTGGCCTCCTCTGATATTACCCAGCAGGAAGGGAGAAGGTTATCTTGTTACATCTGTAGTGAGGCTGCAGGCTCCCCCTGTGGTATCCACTGACATTATAGGGGGCTTGGTTAGTTACTGTCTGGAACGGATGAAAGCAGCAGGTCCCTACTTGACTTTCTCCAAAATCTGTGGAATATTAGAGCACCTATGTTCAGCTTGCTAAGGATGGAAATCTACTTTTTGTTTCTATGGATTTGCTTATTTCGGTAATTTCATATAAATGGAGTCGGTGGCCTTTTAAAACTGGCTTTTTTTTAAAATTAGCATAATGTTTTCAAGATTCATCCATGTTGTAGCATATATCAGTACTTCATTTCTTGTTATTGCCAGATAATATTCCATTGTATATATACCACATTTTATTTATTCATCAGATGATGGACATTTGGATTGATTTCATTGTTTGGCTGTTATGAATAATGCTGCTATGAACATTCATATTCACATTTTTGTATGGACATGTTTTTTATTCTATTGGGTATATACATATGTCTGGAAGTGGAATTGCTGGGTCCTAAGGTAATTCTATGTTTAACATTTTGAGAACTCCATTTCTTTTTTTATTATTAATTTGTGTCTTATTGTATTGTGGTGTTAGGAAAGAGGCCTGAGATATTTTATAGTGTCTTTTAGGTTCTTAGAAAGAACTGTTCCCAGATTTGAGATTTTATTTCTACTCTGTTCTTTGCTTACATCTGTATTCTTTCCATTAAAATGACAGGTGCTGATAATTAAGTTACTCAAGAGATCTATAAGTTACATGAATATTAAAGTGCTTTAAACCAGTCACATTTTGAAACATTGTGAATGTGCAGTTATTCATAGGCATAATTTTTATATTCATAAATTTACCTGTGCTTTTAATTATTTAGAAAAAAGAAAGTGAGTGCCTGCAATTAAAAATTTTGGTGCTTCGAAATGAACTGGAAAGACAGAAGAAAGCTTTGGGACGGGAGGTGGCATTACTGCATAAGGAACAAATTGCATTACAGGACAAAGGTGAGTAAAAACACCATACAAACAGCCTAGCCTCCACATTCAGTAATTTTCCTTTCTTTTTCTCCATAGGCTCAAATAGTCATCTTTGTGTAAATATACTAAAACAATTTTTAAAAAATTTTTGAAGTATTTTGAAGTTAATACGTATAGTATAGTGTATACACACACAGACACACTTCACATTTTCACAATGAACACACCTGCATAAGCAGAATCTCCATCAAGAAACAGAGACAAGGACCCCAGAAGCCCAGAAGTTTCATGTTCTCTTCCATTCATGGCATCTCTAGCCAGACTAACTACTACCTTGACTCACTATACCATAGATTGGGTTTGCCTAATTTTGAACTTTATACACCTAGAACCATATAATATGTACATTTTAAGTGCTGGCTTTTGTTGAACATTTTGTTTGTAAGATTCATCCCTACCTGAATGTAATGTAGTCTTAGTTTATTTTTGCTGCCAATAGTATTACACTGAATGAACATGTATTTATTTATTCTTTCTTTTGACATTTCATTAATTTCTAGTTTGGGACTATTACAGGTAATGTTTCCGTGAATGGTATAGTACATGTTTCTTAAAGAAGTTTTTTAATGCATTTCTTTTAGATATAAACCCAGGAGCAGAATTACATAGTCATAGTATATGCATATCTTCAGCTTTAGTAGGTTGTGTCCAAAGGTTTTCCAAAGTAGTTGTGCCAATTTACCTCTTCTCCATCCAGCAGTGTATCCTCCATCCTTGTCAGTGTTTGGTACTTTCTGTCTTTTGTATTTTAGCCTTCCTGGTGGGTATGTTGTTAGTGTCTCCTTGCAATTTTAATTTTGATTTCCCTGAAGACTAAGGAAGTTGAACACTATTTCGTATGTTTCTTGCTGATTGGGATACATTCCTTTTGAAGCACCTGTTAAAAGTCTTGCTGCTCCCCCCGCTTCTGTTGGTTTGAGTAATATTATTTTTTGATTATATATTATGGATATGGTTTCTTTGTTTGAAATATGCATTGAAAATATATTCTCCCATTCTGTGGCTTGCTAGTTCACCCTTTTGTGATACCTTTACATGAACACAAGTTCCATTTTATCAGTCTTGTCTTTTTTAGTTAAGGTCTTTTGTGTCTAATTTAAGAAATATTTGTCTATTTTAATGTCATAAAGATCTTCTGTGTTTTCTTTTAAATGTTTACTCTTGAACTTTTTACATTTATATCTATAATTCATCAGGAATTGATTTTTTTGTGTATGATGTAAGTTAAGAGTCAAGACTCACTTTTTATATATAGTCAATTGGCCCAGCACCATTTATTGAAAACCATCCTTTCCCCATTGCACTGCTGTTTCTCTTTTGTCATAAATAAGGTGAACATATACTTGTCTGTTACAAGACCATCTGTTCTGTTTCATTGAACTGTTACTCTATTCTTTTGCCCTTATCTTACTGTTTTAATTTCTCTCATGTTGTATTTGGTCTTGCTCTCTGTTAAAGTTCTTCAGCTTAGCTGTTCTTCAAAATCACCTAGGTTATTCTTGTCCTTTTGCATTTTCATGTGAACTTCTACACAGAAAAGAAACCTTATTAGGATTTTGATTGGGAATACATTTGATATATTTACCAACACAATTGGGGTTAATAGACATCTTTACAGTATTGAGTCTTCCATTCCAAGAAAATGGTATATGCCTTTGTTTGTTAGATCACTTTTACAAAATCTTATTGAAATAAAGTAGTTGTTAGTAAATGGATGTTTTCCATGATTCACTGAATTTATCAATATTTCTATTTTTGATGTTTTGTGGTAACTGTTATAACGATCTTTAACTTTTACTTTCTACTTGTTGCTGATATATGGAAATATGAATGATTTTTTTAAAGTAGTATTGATTTTATTATATATGCAAAGAAATGTTCCCTGGAAGTTTTATAGACAAATTAGCAATTCTAATGTTAGGGTAATGGCCCTGCAGCTGCAGCTCTCACAGTGATTGATTATTTATTTATTTATTATAAGCTAATTATATTTACAATTAAATTCAATTATACTATAATTAAATTGATTCTATTCTAATTATTTTATGACATAAGATAAGAAAATTATGGAAAGTTTTTTAAACAGCTTTATTGAGATTTAATTCATATACCATGCAGTTCATTTTAAAGTGTATAATTCAGTCTTTTTTGGTTTATTTATAGGGTTATACAATGATCACAGTCTAATTGTCCCTCCTAAAAGAAAATTCATACCCATTAAACAGTTGTTCCAAATTTCCCCTTTCATAAATCCTAAGCAACCACTGATTCATTTTCTGTCTCTATAAATTTGTCTTTTCTGGACAATATGTAAATGGAATCATACAATATGTGGTCTTTTGTGACTAACGTTTTTCATTTAATGTAACGTTTCAAGGTTCATTCATGTTGTAGCATGTGTCATTACTTCTTTCTTTTTAAAATAAAATTCAATTACATGGATATACTATGTTTTATTTATCCGTTCATCAGTTGATGAAAATTTGGATTGTTTCCAGTTTTTGCCTATTATGAGTAATGCTTCTTTGAACATTCATATATAAGTTTTTGTAAGGAAGTATGTTTTTATTTCTCTTGAATACGCCTGAGGGTGGAATTGCTAGGTCATGTGCTAACTGTGTAACTTGTTGAGCAATGGCCAGCTGCTTTTCACAGCAGCCGTAACCATTTTACTTTCCCACCAGCAATGTATGAGGGTGCTAGTTTCTCCATGTCCTCACCAATACTTGTTATTTTCTCTCTTTATTATTGTAGCCTTCCTAATGAGTGTGAAGTGGTATCTCATGGTAGTTTTTTTTTTTTTTTAATATTTATTTATTTATTTTGGCTGCATCAGGTCTTAGTTGTGGCACGCGGGCTTCTCTCTAGTTGTGGCTCACAGGCTCAGTAGTTGTGACGCATGGGGTCTAGAGTGTGCAGGCTTAGTTGCCCCTTGACACATGGGATCTTAGTTCCATGACCAGGGATCGAACCCGTGTCCCTTGCATTGGAAGGTGGATTCTTAACCACTGGACCACCAGGGAAATCCCTCACATGGTAGTATTGAATCACATTTCCCTAATGGCTAACGTGCTTATTACGGTTGATTTTTGTATAATAATTTTACAGGTATACCTAATTTTATTGCACTTCACTTTATTGCACTTTGCAGATAATTGCTTTTTTTTAAAATTGAAGGTTTGTGACACTCTTGTGTTGAGAAAGTTTATTGGTACCATTTTTACAATAGCTTTTGCTCACTTCATGTCTCTGTGTTACATTTTGGTAACTCTTGCAATACTTGAAACTTTTACATTATTATTTTATTTGTTATAGTGATCTGTGATCAGTCATCTTTGATGTACAATTGTACTTGTTTTGGGGCACCACGAATCACGCCCATATGAGACAACGAACTTAATCGATAAACGTTATGTGTGTTCTGACTGTTGCACTAACTGGCCATTCCCCTGTCTCTCTCCCACTCCTGGGGCCTCCCTATTCCCTGAGCCACAATAATTTCAAAATTAGGTTAGTTAATAACCCTACAGTGATCTCTAAGTGTTCAAGTGAAAGGAAGTGTCATACGTCTCTCACTTTAAATCAAAAGATACAAATGATTAAGCTTAGTGAGGAAAACATTTTGAAAGCCAAAACAGGCTGAAAGCTAGGCTCTTGAGCCAAGCAGCCAAGTTGTGAATGCAAAGAAAAGTTCCTGAAGGAAATTAAAAGTTCTACTCCATTGAGTACATGGATGATAAAAAAGTGAAATAGCTGTATTGCTAATATGGAGAACGTTTTAAAGGTCTGGATAGAAGATCAAGTCAGCCACAACATTCCCTTAAGCCAAAGCCTAATCCAGAGCAAGGCCCTAACTCTCTTCAATTCTGTGAAGGCTGAGAGAGGTGAAGAAGCTACAGAAGAAAAGTTTGAAGCTAACAGAGACTAGTCCGTGAGGTTTAAGGGAAGAGGCTTCTCAATAATATAGAAGTGCAAGGTGAAGCAGCAAGCGCTGATGTAGAAGCTGCAACAGGTTATCTAGAAGATCTAGCTAGATAATGAATGAAGGTGGTTACACTAAACAACAGAGTTGCAGTGAAGACAAAACAGCCATATACTGGAAGAAGATGCCATCTAAGATGTTCATGGCTAAAGAAGAGAAGTCAGTGCCCGGCTTCAGAGCTTCAAAGGACAGGCTGACTCTGTTGTTAGGGGCTAATGCAGCTGGTGACTTTAAGTCAAAGCCAGTGCTCATTTACCATTCTCAAAATCCTAGGACCCTTAAGAATTATGCTAAATCTACTCTGCCTGTGCTCTGTAAATGGAAAAAGAAAGCCTGGATAGCAGCACACACCTCTGTTTACAGCATAGTTCACCGAATATTTTATGCCCACTGTTGAGACCTACGGCTTAGGAGAAAAGATTTCTTTCAAAATATCACTGCTCATTGATAGTGTACCTGGTCACCCAAGAGCTCTGCAGATGTGGTGGAAATAGTAAGAGAACTAGAATTAGAAGTGGAGCCTGAAGATGTGATTGAAATGCTACAAGCTCATGATAAACTTAAACGGATAAAGAGTTACTTCTTACAGATAAGCAAAGAAAGTGGTTTCTTGAGATGGAAACTACTGGTGAAGATGCTGTGAAGATTGTTGAAACAACAACAAAGGATTTAGAATATTAAATAAACTTAGTTGATAAAGCAGCAGGGCTTGAGAGAAGATTGACTCCAGTTTTGAAAGGAGTTCTACTGTGGGTAAAATGCTAACAAACAGCAAGCACTGCATGCTACAGAGAAATTGTAAAAGGAAGAGTCAATCTATGTGGCAGACTTTACTGCTGTCTTGTTTTAAGAAATTGGCCATAGGGCTTCCCTGGTGGCGCGGTGGTTGAGAGTCCGCCTGCTGATGCAGGGGACGCGGGTTCGTGCCCCGGTCCGGGAAGATCCCACACGCCGCGGAGCGGCTGGGCCCGTGAGCCATGGCCGC